TGTCTTCAATGCCTCTTCCCTAATGAAGGTGTCCACCAGTTTCTCCAGCGTTTTTAGAAGAAACGAGGATAGATTGATAGGTCTGTAATCCTTAGCCGCTTGGTAACTATAATATCCTGGCTTGGGGATGAATACCACTTGGACCTTACGCAAGGAATCTGGTATTTGATTTTTGACCATATGCGAGGCAGGCCCTGAAGAGGTGCGGAGTGCGTGGCTCTAGCTCCTTTTGTAAAAAAGGCGGAACTCAGTGGATGGCTTATCTTATGGAGTTTTCTGACACCACCCTCGCAGCAATCTTTCAATCAGCTGGCCTTGCGCGACCAGTTTGCAGGATCTCAGAGTCCGGAAATTGTGTTTCCACGAGCCAACCAAGTGGTATAGCTACCGGAGGAAAGCCTTAGTCAGCCCAGCTCTCGTCCTGGAACTTTTAGAGAATCTTTCGGAGCTTTGCAAGTACTGGAAGCTCGTCTACGTTTCCGCAGAACGTCCTCTGCGATTTTCTTTCCTTCTCATAAGATCTTTGTATCTGCGCTGAGACTTGTGGCTGTCCCAGTCAGCTAGTAATTTAGAGGTATCTTGTGTAGGTACTGATTGTTCAACTTGTTTATCAATTATCAATGAGTTCCTGACCGTTCGATTGCTTATTCAGTATTTCTCTTCATCCCAGTTCCTCCATGGAAAATTGCGTACCATTCTGGGTTTTGGGAAAGAAGCCTCGGGCCCCTTTCAACAACCAAGATTCATCAAGAAAAATTGTGTCTTCTCACTCATCAACTTAAGTTTCTTTTAATACAAACTTGTGCTGGTGATGTACAGGTCTTTTAGTCAGTAAATTATTTGCCAACGGAATGTTCAGCCATAACACGAAATACTTTTGTAAAATGAGAAGATGGTGTTGTAGAAACTTGTGAATTTATCAAGCCAATGATGTTTTTAGCAAATTGACTTCCAAAATTTTAGTTCAATGTCATACTCTACCTAGAATTAAAGTTCTAGAATAAATTTTCAATAAAAACATGAATTTTGATGCGACATTATTTGTGAAAACAGGCCTATGAAATACAGGGTATCCCAGCCGAGAGTGACCCATTTCAAATGCTTATAATTTTTGAACCAAGTGTGCTAGCTACCTGCGGTTTGCGCCATTCGATTTCTCTTTAGCTAAAGTTTAAGTAATAGTTTGCGAATTTTTTTGCCACTTATACAGGGCGAGTTGAAAAAAATCCGTTTTTCAACATCAAAATTCTCCACTATCTTGAATGGAACACCCTGTATATCACAACGTCAAAAAAAAGAGTCATGTTCAACGTATCCGTGTACCAATAAATCCGTGAACAAATAAACATCGACCTTTAAACTTGAAATTTCAGTCATAAAAAATCAAAATCGAAATCCTGGTATTTTTGCAAACGCATGCAACTTCAGGTTATAAGTAAGTACTTGCTATCAATATGGCAAACAATTTTGTAACTGTCAAGTTAGATATCAAGTAACAACTTGAAATAGATTTTCCAAGATAATTTAACGGATTTCAGTAAGAATAGCGAGATACCCCAAAAGTAGCAGTTTGGTGTGCAATCTAAGTTGAGAAAAAATATGGACCATTTTTCATTGATGAACCAACGATAACAGGAACTGTATACACTGATATATTAGAAAATTTATTTTATTCACAATTAAGACGGAAGGGTTGCTTGGACGATACCTAATTTCAGCAGGATGATGCCCTACGTCATTATTGTTTAATAGCGAGGGAATCACTAGATATAATATTTGGAAAAAGATGGATTATGGGAGAGCTTGTCCTATAGAATATGGACACCTTACTCTCCTGACCTGACAGATCCAGACTTTTTTTCTCTGAAATTATGTCAGAGGAAATCCTGTAATCCTTTGCCAAATTGCCTGGCAGATCCTAAGTGGAACATTCGTAATGTAATTGAAGCAATTCTCCCAGAAATGTTACACAGTTTATTCAGCCATTCACTGATTCATGAATGCGTGGAACATAATGGCTACCTAACATATACAGCATTTTTTATAGTTTTATGCAGTTTTCATTAACTCTTTAGTAGGCAAACATAATTTCCAAGCTTTGTGAATATGCTAATAAAAAATACCAGGGGTCGTATTTTCGAAATCATTCGAGTACATTTGGTATACGAAATATGACTGACAGCAATGTAAATGAAATGGGGAGCATTCGAAATTGTATCAAATTTCGTATGCGAGAATATTCGAAAATACGACCCCAGGATTTTGAATGTGATTTTTTCACGGCTAAAACTTCAAGTTGAAGGACGATGTTTTTTGGTACATATATATCTTGAACATGACTCTTTTTTTTTGACGTTGTGATACGCAGGGTGTTCCATGGAAAATAGTGGAGAATTTCGATGTTGAAAAACGGATTTTTTTAACTCGCCCTGTATAAGTTGCAAACAAATTTGCAACTTACTACAAAAAACTTTAGGTCAAGAGAAATCGAATGGCGCAAACCACAGGTAGTTAGCATACCTGGTTCAAAAGTTATAAGCTTTTAAAATGGGTCACTCTCAGCTGGGACACCCTGTATAACAAACTTTATACAATGTATACTGTGTGACATAGAAATTGCAACATCCTTGAATTCTTAATAACTCAATAGTCAGTTGCGCCTCTACGTAAGTTTTGACATTCTGTAACTCTTTGTGGCATCCTGCCAATCAGATGATCAATACCTGCCTGTGGTAGGTTCTCCCAGGCTAATCTTATCTCATGGCGTAGATGTTGTACATACAGTAGAGGATGTGCCAACTGCCTCAGCTTTCTACCAATAACATCCCAAACATGTTCAATAGGCGATAAGTCTGGTGACCTTGCGGGCCATGAAAGAAGGGTTACATTACCTTGTTGGAGGAAGTTTCTAGTAACTGCAGCGGTATGTGGTGACGCATTGTCTTGTTGAGAAATTGGATCTTGCAGTTGCTGAAGGTAGGGAAACGCGACAGTTGTAATACGTTATTAATGTACGTTCATGTTTCTATCCAAAAAAACTAGAAGTGATCTGCTTCCAACTGCTATGGCACCCCAAGCCATAACACCCCTAATAAGCGCAGTCTCACGCAAAATTAAAGTAGGTGCCTTTCTTCACGTCTGCGATAGACTCTTCTACGTTGCCCTAACTTCAGCTACTGCAAGATCCAATTTTTCAACAAGACACATACCGCTGCAGTTACTTCACTTCCTCCAACAAGCTAATGTAACCCATCTTTCATGGCCCGCAAGGTCACTAGACTTATCGTCTATTGAACATGTCTGTGATAATTTAGGTAGAAGGCTGAGGCGGTTGCTACATCTTCTACTGGATCTACAACGTCTACGTCATGAGATAAGATTAGCCTGGGTGAACCTACCACATGCAGATATGGATCATCTGATTCGCAGCATACCACGAAGAGTTACAGAATACCAAAACTTGCGTAGAGGCGCAACAACCGAGCCAAAGGAACATACAATTTGTCGGCGTTACGCGTCTTGTAGTAATTAACGTCGCCAAACCTTGCGCAGCCACCAGATTTCTTAAAAACTCGACAAGGCCTCTGCAAAATATAGATATTTATGACAGTTGGTATTTTTTCCCTTTTAAAGGTTACACGTCATGATTCCCTGAAGGGAAGTCTGAACATGGTGCGGATAATGCGTTTTTGACATATCAACAGCCTATTGACACTGCAGGAGTTCCCCCAGGTAGACAGTCCATAGGCCAGAGGAGAATGCACCGCTGCAAAGTAGAAGGTTTTCAAAGTATAAGTGTCCACAAAATCTCTGAGCTACAGAGGATGGCATAGTTGCTACGCGACAACTTATTGCACACTGACTCAACTTGTTCATGTCTGTCAATCACAATTCCCAAAAACCTGGAGGAGTCTTGCTGAGCCAGGCCAGTCGATCCCTCCCTGAAGAGTAGGCTTATCCTCGACCAGTCGCATCAGAGTAAAAATCATGAAACTATTTAAACAAAGACCATTCCTCTGGCACCAGCCTACAATCCCAGATACACATTTGCTACCCCTCAAATGTAGTGATTCATAGTCACGCCCTGTTACGAGTACCGAAGTATCATCAGCAAAAAAGGTCATAAAGCGTTCATCGAGCAAAAGAGGCAAGTCATTTATAAACAATAAAAATAGGTTTGGTCCAAGGACACTCCCCTGAGGAACTCCAGTTTCAACAGCTGCCCAATCGGAGACTGCTACCTGACCTTCAACATTCAACCTGACAGCCTAGGCTCTACCTGACAAATATGATACCAGACACCTGTAAGCTGGGCCAATAAGAATTCCTTACAATCCTCACAATAAATTTGTTCGAAAATATCATCTCATTCCCAAAATATTAATAAAATATATTTACATTTACTGGGTGTTGCAATTTCTATGTCACACAGTATATTTCAAATACCTTAATAATATAATATTTAATTGAAACGGCAATTTAAACATGATGTCTTTTTAAAACCGTCAACGGCGCATATTAAAACAGAATTTTAATCATGCAACCCCGAGAACTATTTATTCAGTAGAAAAGTTTTCGGTACAATTTAATTATGGAATAACGTTTGAAAACTTATCATCCAAAACTGGCTGCAATGCTTTTTGGGCTGTCAGTGTTCCGCAAATGACATTGATAAAGTATAGTTCCAAGTTATACTCACTTTATATTATGAAAAATTATTTTTAGGTTTTTTCTTCGATTTACCCAATTGCAATACTTATTTATTTGCTTCACGTATGTTTTCTATTATTATCTATTTCCTTCACGTGTATTTTTTAATTGCTTAAAGGTTAATTATTTTCGGACAAAATAATTGTTTTTTTTTTTTTGATAGAGCAATATAATTATTTCGGTTATCATTTTTTGTTTCAATTAAAAAAAAAATGCTTCGTATTTCGTTTATCAATTTCCGTTTAATTGGCTTTAAAGTCAATATAAGGGAAAATTGAACATAAAACAATATTAGAGTGATTTTTACGACAAAAGTGAAAAAAACTACAACTATGGCTAGAATTCTGTTAGTTCTTTCACTGACTGCAATATATATTGGTAAATATTTCAATAATTTTAGTTTTTGGAAGCTCAATTCACACTTTAAATTTTTATAACAGTCCACTTGCATTTAGTAAGCTTTTTTTGGAGCACAATTTCATGGTTTGGATTTAATCCACCATTTTCACATGTGACGGGTAAATTGTGCCGTATTGATTCACATACTAATGTTTTGTAATTAATGCATGACAAAAGTTTCAATTTGTAATTTATTTAAACTTCTGTAAAAGTTAAAACCGCAGGATCAACTGCTGTTTAATTCAATCGACATGTTAATACAGAGATATCAAAATAATCTGCAAAACTAAATAGAATTCATATTGTCAAATGTATTTGCTGTATTTACCATTGATTTATTTTACCTGCTTTTAAGTTTTTACCAAGCTAATTTGGGGTTAGTTTATTTATCTAACTTTTATTATTATTGACCTAGAACAAAGCAATACTATATTTTAAGTACTTTAGGGATTAAAAGTAGGTACCCTTTTTATCCCTGTTTCAAGGAAGTTAAGTGGGTCTTTTAATCCCCGGGATTAAATTTCACTTTATTTCCCAAGGGATTAACTTTTTACTTTATTTCCCGGGGATTAAACGAAACAGGGAATAAAAGGGTACTTTTAATCCCTAGAGAATGAAAGTGTACTTTTAATCCCCCTGAAATAGTATATAAACCTCAGGACTAAAGTGTTTTTTTAACCCTCGACAAATTATAGCCCTCCCTTCGGTCGGGATATAAACTTTTTGTCTCAGGATTAAAACAACTACTTCAGTCCCTGAGTGTATATTGTACTATTTTTTGACCGGAATTAGAGTTTAAAAAATTTTCTTGGGAAAAGAATATAAAATACATGGGTTGGTATTATACAGTGTCATTACTTAAGTGTGCAACATATGGGATTTTTTTTAGTATTAGCATAATCAAAATACAAACAAGGCCAAAAGTTGGTGCATGTCTGATAATCATATTGGGTGCACTTAGAATGGTTGCAAATCCAACAGCATACAGGGTAGCTTAAAAAATATCAAAATTGTAGTAATATTTATTCAAATAAAATAAAACTTTTGTACTTTAGGGAAAGTTTTTTTTTAATATGGTTATTATCATTAGAAATGTTTTAACTTGTTAAAAAAAAATGGCGACATTTTAAAGTTGTGTTGAATATCATTGCAACAAACATGAATTTTGTGATTCCATAAAAAATTAAAAATCTAAGTTAATTTTACAAATATGCTTGAATTTGAACAAAGTAATGTAAAATTGATTTGATTTTAATTAATTTTTGAAAGTATTAAGGGCGGAAATAAAATACCTTAAAAAAAATATAGAAATTATAGATTTTTTTCGAAAGAAAATAAAAAAAATCTTAGGAGGGTATATTTTGGTATTTAGGCATAAGTTCTAATTCCAAAAAACTTTTCTCTATAACATTTTGCTGAGTTTTCTAAAATAAGGGTACTTTACAGTACAGCTTTGATATTGTTTGAGCTACCCTGTATGCTGTTTGACTTGCAACCATTCTAAGTGCACCTAATACGATAATCAGACATGCACCAACTTTTGGCCTTGATTGTATTTGGGTTGTGCTATTACTAAAAAAATCCCCATATGTTGCACACTTAAAAAATCACACTGTAGATGTTCACAGCATTTGAGGGATTGGCAGTTGTATAACATAATAATGCAATTAATTGTTTTAGGATGGGTTCTTACAGTACAAAGCTGTTATGAATGTTTTGGCGACGAAATCTCTGGTAAAGAACCATGCGAAGTTGAGAATACCAATAAATCAACTTGCATAGACGGAAATGTGGCTAAAGCATGCTACACTGTAGCTTACGAATCTGAGGGCAACATGACCTATTTACGTAGTTGTTCAGATTTAGATAAGAATATGATTTGCGAGTACTATAAAAATATCTCGAGCTATACAGTGAAGCAGTGTAATGCTTGCGATCAGGACAATTGTAATGATGATAAATTTGAAATGTAGGTAAATTTTTACGATCACATAAAAATATTTTGAATTCAGAGTTTGATTTTTATTATTTGTTTATTTTATATCATACAGGTCACCAGTTAGGTACTGATTCGGCAATGCATTACAATTATTAAAAACCATTGTAATCTCTATCAGCCTAATGCAACATCCACTTCTAACATTAAAAAGCTATCAGTTTTAAAAAGGACCTTGCACTAATCTTATGGAAATTGGGTCGCGGCTAAATTTTCTGCCACGTTGGCAATAAGAATCCAGTTTGTTACGGACTTGCGCCATATTCGTATTCAGGGACGAGTTCAGAATTAATCGTTCCTTTTTTCTTTGTAACGTGTAATTCGACAAAGAGCAAATTATTACTTTATGTATTACTTGAACTTACCGCAGTGTCATTTAAGGTTAAGTTAGATTATTCTTCTTCTTCTTCTTCTTGAGGGTTTGGCTTGTGCTCCCAAGGGCAATTCACCAACTCATCAGGTTGGTGCTCCAAGATTTTCGAGTTTGTACTCCTGGATGCTCCAGACAAAACTTTTAATTAAAAATACTCTACGAACTCTACAATATTTGTAACTATTTTTTATTTTATTTGAGGCGGTAGTTAGTAAAAGACAATCACAACAAAGGTAAGTAAACTCTTCTCGCTCCTGCGCAGTGGAGGAGCTTTTCACAAAGGAACTGCGTCGGTCGGAATATGAGATGAATATTGGTGAGTTGAGACTGTAAAAAAAAAGATAGCATCTAATCCACCCGTAATCCAATGCACGGGCTACGTAAATGACTAAAAATAGTACGTAAATGACTAAAAAAGAGAAATATGAAAAATTGAGTAGGTACGTCATTGAGTTCTGCTTTGAAAAGTACCTCTAGACAGTTTATACAGAAATCAATTATTTTCATAAATAAAAAAGTTATGAAGGTTTTACATTATTGCTCAAAATCGAGACGCATCCTCTAGCGGCAAAACGGTTGAGGGTATTAAAATGCGGTTTGCATCAATCAAGATTTCATGAAATTTGAGCCTCAGCAGAGTGGGGGGTTTATTTTTTTGTATCTGTCTAGAAATTGACCTTTCATATCAAAAGTGTCCAAATCGGATCACCCGTACCTACCTACATTCTTAAACGTATAAGTAAAGTAAAAATAAATTCTCAAAAAATCATTGTTGATAATTCTACACCCTGAAGAAAATCCTGGATCCGCCACTGGTTAACATACACTTTAAAGCTCTTCTTTTGACTGATATAAGGCATTGTAGAACACTTAACAATATGTCACTTCTTTGATGTTATACTATTCGATTTGTAATGGATTTGAATCAATGACCTATTAACACAGATAGACAGAACATCCCATTGATAAAATAGCTTTGTTTTGGTTGACTACATGTTTATGGGCCAGGGGGGCTGAGCTGTGAGAGCGGCTAGGAGTAGGGATTCAAATGATTCCGCTAACTCCGCCCCCATTTTACTATCGCATACTTGGCAACTCTGAAAATGAAACCAAAATCAGTGCTACAAAAGTGTATTTTTATCCTTATATTTTACATAATTTTAGAAAAAGATGCGGATACACTCACTGCGCACTGATTGACGAATGGAAATTGTCATAAAATACCTGCAGGTCGCATTTTGACATGACAATTGAATAGAAGCCGCTGATTGGTGGAAAGGTGGAATTCGAGGTGGGATTTATTTTTTTGCAGCGTTGCTAATTTTCATTGAAAAATAATCGCTTTCCACGTGTTAGAGAAAGATACAAAATAACACAAGGATTAATAAGTAGTGGGGAGAGATGCGGTTCCTGGCATATAGTCAACCGATATTATTGTTTATTGTTCTGTCTATCTGTGTTAATAGGTCATTGATTTGAATTGTCTGCATTTATTCTGCAACGATACAATCTGGCTACACTGCAGCCACAAGTTGTGCGCGCATGCCATTTTTCATTAATCTCTAACTTGTATTTATTACAATTTAGCTATCTTTTTCTATTTATGCGAGACACGTCAATTCACTCTGACTGGTTTGTGATTTCTGCGCGAGACCTAATCGGCCCCACACAGTACGTTCTGTCTCGTAGGTTTTCATCATCGCGATTAACAACGTCGTGTTTCATCGTCAGCCTGTTTTCACCACACACTACACGATGTGAATTTGTAAAAAGAGTTGAAACTGAATCCAAGCGATTTCACCATGCTTTTACCGACACCTAACCTCGAATTTCGAGATAAATAAACAAGCGTATGTGACGTACGACACTGAAAAACACGTCGATTTGCGCAGCTGGTCCCTGTGGCTGGTCCCATATACAACAGTTTTGGAACTTTGTTGAACCATGGTGCCAAAAAATAAAGCTCGGACTGAATTTTGAACCGATGATGAAACACGACGGTTTTCTACCACAGAAGCCGTGTTCGTTTTTATCATCTTTTTCGTCAATTTGCTCCGAAATTTTGACAGGCACGTGATTTGTAAGTTGAAATTGTCTGATCCAGTCACAGTCACGTGTGTAGTCTAAATTTAGAATACGGTTATTCAGAGAACTATTTATATTAAAAATGGACAGTAACCCTGCGTTTTTATTCTCATCAAATTTTAACGATGGATCGGTCATTGTCATTTTCCATTCACTAAACAAAGATAGCTAACTTATATCGGTGAAGTCACCGATTAGAATAAAAACGAGAGGTAACTGTCATGCACCATCATGACAAGTCTCACTGACAATAACTTTGACATTACCTGGCTGTCGCTGGTATCATCCAAACACCTTCTACAGGTAATCCGTCAAGGTTGACTGCATTCGACCATCCTGACAGCATGATCGTCCTCGATCGCACCAGTGACATCAATAATCTATAATATTCAGATAATAATTGAATATAATATTCAATTAAAATAGTTTAGGTACGTCACATGTGCTACCAAGTAGTAATTGAATCAAAAATTCAATTAAAATAATACCTATGTGGCACAAAGCAAAAGCAAATATTTGAATCAGATATTCAATTGAATAGTGTACGCCAGATACGCCAACAAGCCAATAATTGAAACCGATATGCAAATAAACAGTGTACGTCAGATACGTCATCAAGCCAATAATTGAATCAGATATTCAATTAAACGGTGTACGTCAGATACGTCACCAAGGCAATAATTGAATCAGATATTCAGGTGAACAATGTACGTCAGATACGTCACCAAGACAATAATTGAATCAAATATTCAATTAAACAGTGTACGTCAGATACGTCACCAAAGCAATAATTGGCTGTGTTCAACGAGACGTAAACCCGCTAGCGCTGAAAGCGCCAGGAGGCGCTAACTGTAGCCGTTGAACGACCTACTTATGTTTCAAGATTTTTTCTAAACTCTAAACATAACCTAACAAAACGCTAATTGGGAATTTTGTGTTAAATGACATGGGTATTTCCATAATGTTCAATATTCATGTCGATAATTCGAAAATAAAGCAGCTCCCACCAACACCAACCAAAAACCAAAAGAAAAAATATGTAATGTTAGATTAGGGGATAGGGTAGATTGGACATTTATGACATTTCATATTAGCGCTAACAACAGCTAACTAAAAATAGCACTTTTCAAATGAGCTAAGTAAGCTGACAGGCGCTTTTGCGCTAACTAGTCGTTTATCGGTCAATTAGTCGAAAGCGCTTGCAAGCGCTAACCTCCGCTAAGTCCCGTTCAACACAGCCATTGAATCAGATATTCAATTAAACAGTGTACGTCAGATACGTCACCAGAGCAATAACCGAATCAGATATTCAATTAAACAGTGTACGTCACCAATCTTACCGATTAAACTTCTTAAAATTTGAATAATTTAATATTGTCGGCACCTATGACTCCTTCATAAGACCGCCTGCTTCTTGTAGAGTGGATGTCTTCTTTGACACGGTACCTATAATTTGGAAGTACCGCTACAATCCTACAGTATTTTTAATACCCATTTAGAATAATCCCATCCTTATTGATCAATAAAGAATCAGATGAAACAAAAAATTACCAACCAGAACGAACGTCAATTGTTAATAGGTACGTCAATTTCATATACAAATAGGAAATTCCTAACCTAATTCTGTTTGTGTGTTCAAGAAGCGACATACGTTTAGTCACTAGAACGACTGGTATTAAAAATACTTTAAATGTTCCTTTGTAATTTTCCAAAAGTTTTTTACTCTCATTGTTGTTACTTGGAAAACTTGTGACCTTAGTCAAAACTAAGTCACCAACAACATATTCAATACGTGCAGCTCTTTTCTTATTAAATTGCCGATTCTGTTTCTCACGATTTTCTTCCAACTTACTGGAAACGTCCATCGACAGAAACATTATTATTATTATCTATATATATTTATCTCCATCAAGTTTAAGGTTGTATCTAAAGAATTGGTGTTGTTTCAGTTATTCGATGTTTGGTGCTATTGATACCTTGCTGAATATTTTTAGTTTCAAATCCCACAAGTTTGTGTCTAAATTAGCACTCGTAGTCGCCAATGCATCTAATACAATCTTATTTGCCCTTTCTACCCTCCCACTACCTCTTGCCATGCCAACTGCAGTTGTTAATGCTTTTATTACCTTTTCCTCTGTATATTTTTGAAAATCTTTAGATACAAAAGCTTTGCCTGCATGGGTTAACAGTCTATGGATTACCAAATATCTACCAGAAATCTCATCTAAAGCCTCTATTACATGCTTACTTGAAGTCTCTGGAACTGCATTTAAATAAACGAACTTTGTGAAAGCTTCAATGGTCACTAGTAGATATTTATTTCTACTCTCCGTTTCCACAGAAGGTCCTGAATAATCTACATGAGGTGTATGATTTGGTCCTGCATATTTTGGAATAGAAAGATACAGACAGTTGATGTGAGCGGCTATAATTTTTTTTAACAAATCTTCGCATTTTAGGAAACCCAATAGCTGTCCTTTATACGTTCGAGTGTCTTGTCTAATGCGAAATGCCCGATGTCATCATGATTATTCTTCACTATCTGCCAACGACAATTTTTTGGAACACACCATTTTCTACCGTAATTCGTCAGTTTGTAGACTTTGTTGCCTGTTGAGTTCGATCTAAACTCTTTAAAAATGTGCTTTTGATTTACACTGTCTCCAGATAAAAGGATATCTTAAATTGTTTTAATGTCTTTATCTGTATCTTGAGCTTCACGTAGATAATCTTCTTTAGAAATTGAAGCTACATTTTGAATTTCAGGTAAATTTTCCTCACTGTTTGCATCAAAATTTCTGCTGAGTGCATCAAGGTGTTTTCCAGACTTTTGTTTAATTTCAAATGAAAAATCTTGTAAAT